GATATAACACCTAGTTCTTATTCTTGACTCCTTTGTGTCTTCTAATATATATATTATATATATATAAACAAGTAACCCTCCAAACAAACCCAAAGCCCTAAGCCTTTTAACATAATATTCTCTTAATTAACCATGGCGAATGTGTTAACCCCAACACTCTGTATTCTCCTTTTGGCCATTATTTTGCTGAATTTCGCTTCCACCTCAACGCCCCTAACTACAATATTCTCCGATGACGATCAGCTTCCATTGTCTCATTCCGGACAAGAAACATTATCGGTGTCCACAATCGCCACCACGAACAGAAGCAACCAATCACTACTTGCGGATTTCCAGCAACTGTCTTCGAATTTCAACAAAGAGAAGAAAGAGAAGGAAAAGGAAAAGAAGAAAAAGGAGAAAGAGTAGAAGAAGATGGAAAAGAAGGGGAAGAAGAAGGGGAAGAAAAAGAAGGATAACAAGAAGAAGAAGGAAAAATCATTGGCAGCATGTAATACTGAGCAATCAAATACATGATTTTTTTTGCAAGATCTTTTTAACATTTTTCTTCTATTTTTTGAACTGTAGCCATTGGGCATTCTAATATAATTTTTTTTTAGATATTCTTGGGGTAATTTACATCAATATTGCATATCTTTTTCCCCAAAATATTGTATTGTCGTTTTTATTTTTCAAAATATAGCAAAAACTACAATGAATTTAAAGATGGATTGAAAGCATGGCGTCTTTACTGTTCAAAATATTATTTTTAATTTGAAATTTAAAGATGAAAGAAATGCATGGTGTATTCACTGTTCACGAATTAATTTGAATTAAAAATTTTGGACGCCATACTTACATGGTATCTTCACTATTCAAGGTTTTTTTTTTAAAAAATTAGGACTCCTTGAATACAAGTAGTCTTCACTATTTACATAATTTTCAAATTGCTGCACATTGAAGAATGGCAGAGGCATGGGGATAATTTTTTTTTTATTTTAATTGAGCTCCATCTTTACTATTCATTTTTAAATTTTAAACTTCGATCTACAATGAAGACGGTATGCCCATAATCCTACTTCACTATTCACATTTTTATTTTTTTATTATTGCTACAATGAAATAGGTATATCTACATATGGATGTGAGATCATGTAATCATTCACGATTCAGGTCGGATTATGTCAGGTCAGGTTAAATTAGATATAAGTTATGTCAAATCAATTTAATAGTTTGACTCGGATCAGGTATGATCCGAGTCGAGTCAGGCTCGAGTCATTTTCAGGTTGATTGGAAATCAGATTCAGTTTAGGTTTGGGTCGAGTTAATTTTAGTTTGGATCAATATCAGTTCATGTCAAAATAGTTCGAGTTTGAATTAGTTCAATATCATGTTAATTCATGTCAGATCTCGTTCAGATTGGGTCACGTCATTGGCAGATAAAATTTAGGTCGGATCTTATTGATACAGATAGACTTCAGGTCGAGTCATTTTCGAGTGAATTATTTTTTGAATTTCATAAACTTCGAATTGTAATTTGAAATACTATAGACTTTGTAGTAAAACTAAATAAAATAGAAATATTTATGGCCAATTTCATATAAATAATAATAATTTTAAGGACTAAATTGAACAAACATGAAATTACAAAGTGAAATTTAAATAAATTAAACAACATGCAAAGATCAAATTGAAACAATTGTAAAATGTAAAGCTAAAATTAATATAAAATTGGAGTAAATTGAATTTATTTAAAAAGTTAATGATTATGATATAATTTATAGGATTTGAAATTAAATTTATGATGTGATTTATATGTTTGGAGTACAAATAAAAAATAGAAATAATTATGCCATGATTTCAAATAAAAATATAACTTTAAGGACTAAATTGAACAAATATGAAATTAAAAAGTGAAATTTAAATAAATTAAACAACACACAGGGATCAACTTGAAATAAATGTAAAATATAAAGCTAAAATTAATGTCAAATTAGACTATATTGCATTTATTTTAAAAGTTGGTGAACAAAAATTTATAGGTTTTGGAGATTATGATATAATTTGTATGGTTTGAAATGAAGTTTATGATGGGGTTTTATAGGGTTTGAAGTATATTAAAAATATAAATAGTTACAAGTCAATTTTGGATAAAATATACTTTTAAGGATTAAATTGAACAAACAATAAATTACAAAGTTAAATTTGAATAAATTAAACAACACACAAGGATCAAAGTGAAAAAATTGTAAAATGTGAAGATGAAAATACACACACACACACACACACACACACACACACACACACACACACACACACACACACACACACACACACACACACACACACACACACACACAAACAAACTTTGAATGGTATCATAATTAAAACATAAATATTGTTATAAAAATCATTTTACAAAACTGGAGCTCTTTGACACAATTTAAATCAACAATACAAACTCTGAGTTTAATAAACTAAAATACATAAGTAAAGTTTTTGAATACATATGCCTGCTAAGTTACTGTACAGTACTCTGAAGGAGATGCTGGAAGTCTTGTTGCGACGGTGCTCCACGAACTAGTTATGCTACTAGCCTAGCAACGGAAAACATGCGAATGCTGAGCTTACAACACCCAACAATATAATCATTAATCTAGAGCAGCATAAGAATTCATAAACCTAAGCATACCAAAGATATGATACTAAAAAGTAGGTACATGCATGTTCTAGATCAACTACTAACTACTTAAGGCTTAGTTGTCCTATCTCTAAAGTAGGGGTTCCTAAACCTAATGTCTAAATTTGCTATATGTTATCTAAAAGCTATGCCAACTCTGTTGTGCATTACCTGAGTGTGATATTGAATTTATGAATCGTCTGAATAGAAGACTAATTCTATTATGCATTATTTCAATGCAATATTTATTTTACTATGCATTATATGAATGCAACTACTGACTATGTTGTGACTCATACACTAGCTCGGGTAGGCATTATGGTGCGGTTGAGGGACTCTGCATCTCAAAGCTAACACACCCCTCTATCCTAATAGATACTAATATATGATACGCAAAACAAATAATAATATGTGGCTGACATCATGATGCAGCTGAGGGATTCTGCATCTCGGAGCTCACGCACCCCTATAGCACTGTCGATGTACCCATTGGTACACTTAGGTGAGATCCGAAATTCTACATCAGAAATATACACCGCCAACTTAGTCTTTGGGCATCTGGTGCCCAGTTGGAAAAGGAAGTGTCATAGTACTGGCTGAGATATTCACTGACTGACAAACAAGACAACCGCCATACTGCTAAAGTAACTCGGGTGTCCTAACTGTTTTCCCAGTGTCACACAAATGTTAGTTTTATGATATCCTAACTATTATTGTTTTTAGCTGTTACTTTTACTGTTTTTGGATGTTATTGAGTTATTACTGATAATATGTTATTACTGATCTCGTTTATTATTTACTATCTGATATCTCCCTTTTTCTCTCATTTAGAACGTTGTACGAGGGTTTATTAGTCTGTTATTGTTGTTAACATATTTTAATATGGCTATTCACTACTTAAGGGTATTTTAGTCATTTCCTAACTCTAGAAACTCTCTACGCGTTTCGAGACTTCGCGATGATTACTGAGTTTGCTGGTTATGGTTCTGGTTGGTCCGATAACTGACTCAGGTTCATTCATGGGTAGCGATGCTCTATTCGCTAACTCTATGTTTTCCCTCGATTCACCCTCGAATTAGAGGAATAACCGTGTGTCTAACATTTTTGGTCATTCTTGCTGAATATGACATTGTTGTTTCATAATCTAATTACTTGGTAATACCTCTTGTCTGTACCCCCTATGCACTAATTCTCCATTCATAATTGCCTGTTACATGCTCACTGAAGATTCTTGGACGCGTTACGTCTGCTACGGTTACTCTGACTGTAACCCACTCCCATGAGTGTATCTGGGCTCCTCTAGCTATTTACATCCTTTATGAACTAAGCTTTATCTTTACGAACCATCCCAAGCTCTTACGGACCTTAATCGAGTCGAAACTAATCATCTGAGGTAGGTAGTATCGATACTCTAACTTAGTATCGATACCCTAGGGTCAAGTATCGATTCCCTTATGAGTATTGGTAAAAAAATACATTCTGCTGCTGAAATTGGAGCCCAATCTCGAGACCAACACTTTCAATCTCGAGACCAAAAGGGCAATATCGATACTCCCTGTTTGGAAACCCTAATTATAGCCTTAATTTAATCATTATCAATATTGTTCATCCCAGTATCAATACTCGAACTCTAAAATGGGTATTTTAGGCTTGAGAATACCTAAAAATCACCCTAAACATCTTGGGTTGGTTTCTAAACTTGTTCTAAAGTTTTAGAAATTTATTTAGGGTCTTAAGATGTCTTAAAAACATATTTTTTACACCTAAAACATGATTTAGCTGAGAAATCTAAGATGAACTCTAAAATGCTCAATCCACCAAATCATAGTAAATACATGTAACTTATGGATTCTAATTACTCCAAAGGATTAGAAATGCACTACTTTACTGGTTGAAACCCAAAATTGAGCTCCTTTAGCAAGAAACCATTCCCCATTTTGACTTGGATGATAAAACCCCCAACTTTCTCTTGCAAACAAAGAACTCGTGCTTTATTAATTAAATCCTTGATGCTTGAGGGGTTAAGAACGAAATTTAAACTTAAAGAGCTAGAAAATGGTTCAAAAGACTCACTTTTAGCTTAAGGGGTTGGAGGAGGAAGAAAGAAGAAATGCAAAATGGGAGGAAGAAAATAAAATGAGAGATATTTATAAAAGCTCTCATCTTTAAAATTAGAGAATTACACTGTTGGTCCCTCCTCATTTTTCCACTACGCAAAATCATCTCTTAATGACTAATTGGACCCAAGACCAACACTTAAGCCAACGACTTGAATTATAAATTCTATGGGGTCCATTTATCTCTCGATAAACCCGAAACTACTAGCCTGAAATTTGGGGCATTACAAAAATCCCTTGATCCTCTGCTCTAGGCAAGAACTCTTCACTGAAACTGATGCTCGTCTCTCCATCCTATCCTCACAACCATGCTCGAAACTATCAGTCATTTCAACGCTCTACAACACGTATTGAGAAATAAACACCATTAGGATTTCCAGGATTATACAAGTCCTTTAAGTACCTAGGCATGTATTCACTGACACCTTACTAAAAATGACAACTAGGTGGTAGAACCAACTTAACCTGAAGCTCTGATACCACTACATGTAACACCCTAAACCAGATTGGGCCAAAAATGCATCACTGTGCTATCGAGACAACCCCTAAAATTCAAAACATATCCATTTTCTTTTCAAACATATTGAATGGTATCATAATTAAACATAAATGACTGTTATAATATCATTTTACAAAACCACAACTCTATGACACATAAGTTAAAACAAGCTAATACATCTTAAATATTACAACTCAAATACATAAGTAAGGTTCTAGAATACATATGCCCACTAAAGCTACAGTACAATAATCTGTCAGAGTTGTTAGAAGTTCTACCGCGACAGTGCTAAAAAATTACCTAAACTATTGAGTTACTGACGAAAAACATCCAAAGACTGAGCTTACAAAGATCAATAGTAAAATCACTAATCTAGAGCATCATAAGAATTTCATAAATATAAGCATGTTGAAGACATGCCACTAAGAAGTAGGTACATGTATGACCTATATCAAGTGTTTTACTGCTCTATTACTAAACTATGGGTCTCACGCTTCCCTTAGTCATTCTCTAAGGGCCTCTCAATGAGTACGCCTATAACTCTAACCCTAATGAGTGAACATACTATGCATTATCTAAATGTGATATTGATACTCCTGTGCATTATCTGAATGCAAACCTGACATACTGTACATTATCTGAATGCAATCTGACTAGTATCTGGTCTCACATAACTCTTAGACAGTAGTTACTGAGGGAACCCCGGTGTCACATAGCATCGACGTAATTCCCACAACATACTGAATAATCTTCTGGTCCTTACATAGCCATCAAATATATCATTGATGGGAATTCGATGTCATATAACATCGATACAATTCTCGTACAAACTGAAGCATTGGCTTGGTCTCACATAGCTTTCAAGCCAAGCTTTAACATATCTGACCTACTGAACTAATGGGACTATACATGCAGGATTGATATAAACGAACATGGGATAGGTCTGGTGGTGTGGTGAGAGGAATTTACGTGCATCTCGGAGTGACAAGCCAACCTACCTTGAATACAAAAAAGCCTAAAGGTAAGAACTGGAATTTACGTGCATCGAAAGCTTACCTAACAGAATTGACATAACTAAACATGCAAATATAAGGCCCATAGGCCCCATATACTAACATTGCTAACCCACTCCTCACGAGTGTTATAGTCTTACGCCCTAGTTAGCCCTTGAAGTGCCTCACGCACTGGTAATGCCCCATTAAAGTAATTAAGGTAACCTGGGTACATCTCGAATATTATACGAAGGCTTACTTATTATCTAAGGTATTGGCTAGCCCAATACCTTACTCGGGTTTATTTCTGAGTAACGATACTCTATTTGATTTTATCGTAATTTCTTTCAAAACTTATTGAACTAAAAAGAACAACTTACTTTTCCTGGGTTCACTGACATTATCGAAGCTCATACTTTTTACAACCACTGAATTTGACATAATCATCGTACTGCTTATCATATTTCTCTTGAATGATCCTCAGTCCTGACTATTCATATTTGTCCTCATTCAAATATACTTTGGCATATTATGCTTAGTATGGTTACTCTTGATGTAACCTGCTTTTGCTAGTGTTTCTAGGTATACTTGGTCGTTTGTGTCCCTCACAGACTAAGTTTTACCATTACATATCATCCTTAGCTCTTATAGACCTTAAACATGTCAAATATAACAATCCAAAACGAGTAGTATCAATACTCTACTTGTAGTATCGATACCCTTACGAGTATCGGTACCAAAAATGCATTTTGCTGCGAAATTAGGGTCCCAGTATCGATACTCCTCTTGGCAGTATCAATACTCCAGCCCAAAAACCCTAATTTTTGCCCTAATTTAACCATTATCGATACTGTTCATCCTAGTATCCCCTTTGCATTTTGTCCCTAAATTAAAACTCCTCATTTTATGGTTAATTGGACCCAAATACAACCCAATTAAACCCAAAAACTTAAATCATGAAATCTATGGCAGTCCACTTACCTTTCGGATAAACTCAAAACTACTAACCCATAATTTGGGGTGTTACAGAGTTAATATTTTAATTTAAAACCAAATGCAATGTAATATTCTCAGTTATAACCAAAGATATTATCAATTATATAAATTTTTAAGTTTAACAATATAATATTTTAAGTTAAAATTTATCATAAATTAGTCTTAGATTAGACCGTCACACAATAAAACTACCTTGACCTATGTTTAAAGTGATCGAAAAAGTTGATTCTCTAAGTTGCACGTGAGATAATATTTTTTTTATTTTTTGATTATTAGAAATATATAATTGTCAAAAATTAAATATCTTTTGATTAATTATTTTGTAATTAAATATCAATTTTAACCAAATAAATAATCAGATCACTTATAAAAGATGGCAATAAAAAACTTTAACGTTTGAGTTGTTTCAGGAGTTTGATAACCCAACCTACCTGATGTTTATTATCCTTATAGCTTTTGTTAAATACATGTAGTTGTTGTTTTCCATTTTCCATGGTTTTCATAACCGTACCGGTCAGCGAACCGGCCGTGCTACCGGTTCACTGGTTCAACTGGTCGAACCGGTCGGAAGAACTGGACGTCGTCATAATTATTTAAAAAATTAAATAAAAATACCAAAAACATCCCCACAACTATAATACTTAAATACAACACCAAAATTCCATCATTTATTACTTGATTTACTTCTAATAAAAATCTCCAAACATTACACATTATAACCAAAACAAAAGTTGATTAACCTTCAAAATAAAAGTCAAAATATCAATATCCTTCCAAATAAAGTTAAACTTCAACAACATTTAAGCATTTTGATAAGAACACAAATCAAGATCTTCAAGAATGGCAATGTTGTCATCGTCGTCGTCATCATTATTGTTTACATTTCCTAGAATATCAAATAAACAAAAGATGATGTAACAAAAATGCTACATACTAGAATATCAATAGTATAACTATGTTTATGAAAATACTAACCTTTCATTTTAAAAGTAGATGGCTCGTTATTTCGTGGTTCTTTCTCAACCATGTTATCCAACTCGTCCAAGTCAATCTCTCCTTCACCTTCTTCTTCAACCACCCAAAATTCGGTTTGATCAATACATTCATAATCAACTGGATCGTAAGACTGCTTATCATACTTGAGCCTATAATATTTAAATGTTAAAATGTTTGCAAATGTAATTTAGAATAAAAATAAAAAAAGAATAATAAAAGCCTTGTCGTCTTTCAAGAAAAACATTCTATCATACCTATTTTGTAGACATAAGTTATAGTGAACATATACAAGATCATTTAGCCTTTGATACTCCAATCGATTTCTCCGTTTGGTATGGATTCTTTCAAAAACACTCCAATTCCGCTCACAGCCATAAGAAGATGATGTTTGACTTAGAATTCTAATTACAAACTTTTGTAACTCTGGACAATCTCCACCGAAAAGTTTCCACCACTCGTCAAAAAATATGGTAACAAAGTTAGCATAGTAAAATAATTAATATAATAAAAGAAATTATTTATTTAAACTTACCTGGACGAGTACACTTTCGAGAAGCTATTGCAAGTGGTCAACCAAATGTTCCAGTTTGCTCACAAAAGTTAATGAGTTGCATCGTGACCTTCAAACCAATATCACATACCTTTTTCTCAACCATCTCAATGACCCCTGAAAAAACCTCTGCTTTTTGGCAAAAGGTTTCTTGATCATATTGAAAGATTGGATTTAACCAATAAGCTGTAACATGAAGACTCTTTCTCAACATCCTATCCCACCGAGCCTTGATTATATTGGTATACGACCTATATAAAACCTTTTTGAATCGAAATAGTTTTTTGATGCCGTTTTTCGCCCGATACATTCCCTCATACACATAGCCCAAAGAAGGTTTCTCGTCCGAGTCACAAACACGCAGAAGTCTCAACAATGGTGCCATCACATTCACCGAGATCAAGCAATTCTTCCAAAAAGTTTCATCTAGAATTATAAGTTTAACTTCTATGGCTTTTGGCAATTTTATAACTTTCTTAAAATCATTAGAGGTGACCATAGCTTGTAAATCATTTTTATGGTCATGTAAGCTCTTTAATGCAATAAATGCGATACCAAAACGAGTGGCACCAGGATGAATGATTTCTGTCCACCCAGGTCTTTTTCTCAGCCAATTCAACAACCACTTATGGTTATAAATAAAAATAGTAACCCTTGAAGCAAGAGTAATTAAGCTATCAACATGTGACAGCTCCCTATATTCTTCATAATCAAGTTTATACAATGCGCAACACAAGGAGACCAACAAACAGAAGGATATTTCTCACATAACAATTTTCCAGCAGCTTTGTAGTTAGCAGCATTATCAGTAATCATGTGAACAACATTCTTAAGACCAACTATTTTAACTATTTCAGAAAACAAGTTGCATAACGTTTGTGCATTACTTTCAATATCAGATGCATCCACAGATTTGATAAAAGATTTTCCTTTTGAGAAATAAACTAGAAAATTGATAAGTGGTATATGCCTAGTATCCCTCCACCCATCACTCATAATTGTGCAACCCGTTTCTAACCAATTTTTTTGATAAGACTCAACAATAAGGTGCACAGATTGTTTTGCATCTTTCAACAAATTAACACGTATATCATGATAAGAAGGTCCGTTGTACCCATGCCCCATGCTAGCTATCTTACTCATAGCAATTGGAAAAAGTGGAGAATTCATGGCATTCATAGGAATACAAGCATCGTTAAACCACAAAGCAAGAGCCATATCCGTATCATGTGATCTCTCTTTACTTTGCATAGAAGATTTAATCGATGGTTGAGAAAGATCATTTATACCTCGTTTAAAGAATGATTGCAAGTTTGAAGAAGCTTTCCTCTTGCTCGTTTTAGTTGTTTGTTTTTGTACTTCTTCATCTTCATCCAAATTAGTATGTATTCCCAAAGAACAACCGCGCTTCTCCTTTGCTTTTATATTATTTTCCTACAAATTACCTTGCATAAGAAATTTGACATCCCCCGGTACATTTGGACATGCACAAATATTACCTTTTACTTCCGCAAGGTGTTGTTTCATTCTGTTAATACCTCCACCATGAAAAGTTTTTTGACAAAATGTGCAGAAGTATGATTTCCTTCCATGTTCATCTTGTAATTCATTAACATATCTCCAAGCCACGTCTGTCTTCAGTCGAACATTTGATGACGGGGCAACGAAAGTTGTTTGTTCCCCTAATGGTGTTGCATTGTTGTTTTCTTCCATACTCATTACTCTACACAACCAAATTAACCACACATAAATACATAATTCATTTTCAAACATATAGATTACAAACATATGGATTACAAAAGCAATCTAAACATATCATATACTTGAAAAGGGAATTTATCATGTACTTATAGTTCTTTAATATATTTACTAAATACGTTTTCCAAAGTTCATTAACTGTTATTCCAATTGATGGAAGTGGAACCATTGGAACATATCAGTAAATAACACCAACTGCATTTAAAATTTGTAAACAACCAATAAATCCTAAATCAGTAAATGCCTATATAAAGACATACTAGACAAAACCCTATTATTTAAAAGGCATACCAGACAAAACCATGGCATATTATAAAGACATATATAAAGGCATATTTTGAAGGAATCCTAATGATCACTTTATTTTGAAACACAAGACAAATCCAAACATACATACATAAAAACTTACTTTATTATGAAAGAACCCTAAAAAACTACATAAACACATAAAAAATATCACTTTGAAATCCTAATCAACCTACATACAGACATAAAAAATCTGTAATGCAACATAACCCAAAAAACAAATTTAATTATTTTGAAACCTTAAATAAAAATCCAAACAAAAGATGAATAAGAATCTTAAAATGAAAAAAAAACAAAACAAAAGAAGAATCCAGAAATTACCATTGACCGTTATGTTGTCCCCTGGTTATAGAAGTCGTCGTTCAACCATTTTGCTATCCCTTCATTTTTAAACAACAATATGATGATTCAAACGAACCCAAATCCTTCGTTTTTCTTTAAAGAACCCTAAACACAAACCCTAAACAAAGAAGACTACTTAAGATGAACTCTAATCCTTTTTACCCCATTTGATTTCGGTAATTTTCTCAATAAATCACCGGTGATCGGTATATTTACCGATCTAACACCGGTCAAATTATATTTCCCGATCTAACACCCGTAGCAGTAAAGCGCGCCCCCTGAACCGCACTATACGCTGATTTGGCGCCACGTGGTGTAGCGCCCCCTGATCCGCGCTATACCTGGGTATCTGACACGTGGGGTATAGCGCGGTGCAGGGCGCACGCTATACCCATAAATACACGTCCCCATCCTCCCTATAAATACCTCCATCCTCAATCACTTTTATCACACCAAATTCTCTCAAATTCTCTAAATATCTCTCAAATACTCTATCTTTTTAAGGTATATTTTATAATATTTTTACTATTATGTATTTACTTTATTTAATATTTTACTAATATAATTCTTTTGCAGATATATAATGGAAGGCAGTCTACTTCGCTCGGATGGAAATCATATATCTCTACACTTTGCTGATACGGTAACATTTTAACGCTTTAATTTAAATTATTAGTAATATTTAGTTGATTTATTTAATGCATGATTAATAGATTAAGAATTAAATATCTCGACACTTTGTTGATACGGTAACATTTTAACGTTTTAATTTAATTTAAATTATTAGTAATAATTAGTTGATTTATTTAATGCATGATTATTAGATTAAGAATTAAATATCTCGACACTTTGCTGATACAGTAACATTTTAACGTTTTAATTTAATTTAAATTATTAGTAATAATTAGTTGATTTATTTAATGCATGATTATTAGAGTAAGAATTAATTTTTGTAATTATTTATTTTTAGGAGAAGGATCGTGTATTAGATCCTTTTATTAGGAATCTTAAGTTAGTGATACCCAGCGGTGTCTTGCCGTATTTAGTAGAGGATGGATTCAGTTATATAGGTAGATATCAGGGTCACTGTAAGATAGAGCCAGACCTGATTTCTACCTTAGTAGAGCGGTGGAGGCCGGAGACCCACACATTCCATCTTCCATGTGGAGAGTACAGGATCACGCTTGAGGATGTTTCTATGCACCTGGGGCTTCCGGTGGATGGATATGTATTATCGGGGATAACTTCCGATTCTTGGACTACTTTGTGTCGGGATAGTCAAGAACGTGTCCCAGAAAATTTTATCCGAGGTAGGATACCGTTAAATTGATTAGATGCAAATTTTTGGGAGTTAAGAGCAGACGCCTCTGAGGATGAGGTTAAGATGTATGCACGGGCATGCATACTACAGTTGATAGGAGGGTTGCTGATGCCGGACAAATCGCGCAACCTAGTTCACTGCATGTGGATGCGACATCTTAGCGACTTTCGTCTCGCCGGATCATTCAGTTGGGGCTCGGCAATTTTGGCTTTGCTGTACAGGGAGATGTGTGGAGCCACTAACTACAGATGTAATGCTATCGACGGATGTCTCCTGCTGCTGCAGTCTTGGGCATGGTATCGATTGCCCTTTTTATGTTCTGTTGTGAAGAACCCATTTATATTTCCACTACTTTTGAGGTAATTATAAAACTGATTTTGTATATTAATAATTTTATACAACGTATAACAAATTTTTTTCCTTGAATAGGTGGTCTACTGATAGGAAAAATCATCATGAGCTACCTGATGGTTTAGAAAAAATTAGGGTACTAATCGATCAGAAGGCTGGCACACAGGTATGAATTTTAATGTTTAAAAATCGATTTTAGATTATAGTTATATAATTAGATTATTATTTTGATAAAAATTATATATTATTTGTTTTAGTTTGAATGGGTGCCATATTCTACTGATGATGTGAGGGCGGTGATCCCACATGAGTTGAGGGGTCCATCAGATGTTTAGATGGCGATAGTCCCTCTGATCTGTTATGCGACCGTCGAGTGGCACTCCACTGATCGCGTGCTCCGGCAGTTTGGTTGTTTTCAAACAATTCCAAAAGCACCTCACAATATGGACGAGTTGCATAGCTTAGATAGATGCGGTAAGACAGATACAGATTGGCTGGTGAGGCATCATGAGTGGGTCGTGTTGTGGGAGGATCGGCATCGACGCCTTCCACGTAGAGAGCCCATTTTTACTGACTTTTTGATGTATGCTGAGGATTATTATGAGTGGTTCAACAGTAACGGGAAACCGTTTCTACTACCCGAGGATGCACGAGGGCAGACCTTTCCACGACGTCGACATAGACGTTCACCGACTCAGCACCATCGTCCCCCGACTCGTAGATGGAGAGCAGGTGCTTCCGGTTCATCCTCAGCTGCACCAGTAGGACCTTCCCAGCAGCCACCACAGCCATATACGATGCCGCCATTGCCTTTCCATTACCAGATGCCGCCGCCGCCTTCACATGGTTTTATGACCCCGTCACCGTCACAGATGACCCCTCATGGAGGCTATTATGGGTCTATGTTTGTAGATCCGACTTAGGGTTCATATGCTAGATATTTAGCGTGTTCAGCCTCATCACCCATGGCCGCAGCACAGACACCTCCTGTACAGTTTTCACACTCAGCGATGTCTGGGTTTTCCCAGTTTTCCCAGGCCGGTGGGATAGTCAGTCATACACCTCCAGGGTCCTTATTCTATGGAGGTGCTTCATCGTCATCAGCTCCTCATCAACCTAATGTACCTGCTCAGGATGACGACGATGACGATGGTGACGACGACGACGACGATGATGATGACATCGAGGAGTCAGAACCAGTGATACGAAGAAATCCTCCTAGAGACCGATAGCCACCGCCCTGCGGAACACATTCGCGACGCAGGCATCGATAGATTTTTTTTATTATATTTGTATTTACTTTATTTTGTTTAATTATAATTTTTTATTATTTCTCATTTAATACTTACTTTATTTTGTTAAATTTGTTGGACTTTTTTTTAATATATTTCAGTTAATTTTGTTTATTACCATTTAATATCAGTTATTGTAATTTGGTTATCATTTACCATTTAATTCTTATTGTAAGTTTGTTGTATTTAAATGCCAAATTGTTATTAGTTTGATAAAATTTAATGATTGTGTTTGTTTTTTTAATCTTCATCAGTGATTATCGAATGACATTAACTTGAAGTAAATGCAAATTAAAATACAAGAATTATTATTTGATAAACAAATACATCATTTCCTCATCAATTGTTACTTGATGACAACAGAAGTGGACATGTTTTTCTAGTGTGTCCTGGGTTTCTACAATGGCCACATCTTCTGTCTTGTCTAGATCTTTCTCGAATATCCATATCGCAATGAATTCAATTGGATTTTGGACGACCACGCTCCCTCAATAAACTCGGATTTGGTACAATCGGAAGTCAATCTTGAACCTTATCAGGGTCTTTGTCATTACCTATGGGGGAAACTCAAATTCGTATACCTTAAAAATTTCAGATAGTAGGTATACGGGATCCAAAAAATGGTTATAGTCTTGACGTGTATGCGAGCAAGCTGCTATCACATGAGAGCATGGATACTTCAGAGCTTGAAAAAACCCACAGTCACACGTTCTGTCCCTTAGATTTACTCTTAACGACACAGCTTCAATCCCTTGAAGAGGTCGCGGCAACTCTGTTACATGAAACATTTCATGCCTTCTTGAGAAGCTTGTTACAGACATTCCATTTGATGCATCAATTTTTTTTCTGTAGATCTGCAACTAATCTAGGGTGATAGACATGACCGCCTTGCATCCAAGTTTGAGCTTGTCCCCCGAGCTTCGCAAAAACCGTCCCCAAACGAAAATATATATAGTTTTTACCAAAGCTGCTACAGGTAAGTGACGTGCACCCTTTAAGGTTTGAATTGATTGCCTCAGCCAAGTTGGCTGTCATGTGTCCATATCGATATCCACCATCATATGCGTTCATCCACATTTCTTTATCGATGAGGCTGATGTAATCGTATCCTTCCTCGTTCTTCACCCGCAAATCTTGAAGCATTGATTCAAACGTTCAAGGAAGTAGTTCGTAACCTGATCAAAAAATGTATAACTTACTAACTTGCTTTCTTTGCAAAATTAAAATGATCAAAAAATGTATAACTTACTAACTTGCTTTCATTTACCCATACGCACAATTAATTGACGCTCATCATTCTTCTTGTACCTTCCATGATAGTTCGCAGTAATGTGTCGGAGATAATACCT